CACCTCCCCCACTCTGAAAATTGATATCCCTTTGGGGTATGTTTCTGTTGTATTTCACATTTCTGAATTTAAGGGTTCTGTAACCAGATGCCTTTCCCACAGTGGTAGCAAATTTCCCTCCCTGGGAAATTCACAGGGTCACACCAAAGGCAGTTCCAATCTTCGGTCCTGCCAGATGCTGGAGATCTCAGCTGTTGGGGCTCAAAGACGCTCTTTTCTCTTTGAGGTTCTTGGGGGTCTTTTCCCTGGGCATCCACAGCAAAGGGTCCCCAGTAGGCAGCCTGAGATGGAGCTCCTGCTGTGAAGGCTGCCCCTGATGGGGATGGTGTGGGTGCTTCTGGGAAGGGAATAAGGGACGTTAGAATTGGTACGTGAATGGCACAGGCAGCTAGACAAGAACGGCTGCTTGTGAGACTGTGGACCTAGGTTTCAGAAACCCAGAAAAATTAAGCATGGCTGTTTCCACTGATCTGAGATGTCCGTGCCTCTGCCTGCCATAAGTGTGTGTTTTCTGCTCCACAGTTCCACGAAGTTACAGGAGGCCTCCACCCAGCTTTTTTCAGCCTCTGCCACCTNCCTCCCACAGTAGAGGACCCCCAATAGGCAGCCTGAGATGGAGTTCCTGCTGTGAACACTGCCCCTGGTGGGGATGGTGGGGGTGCTTCTACTCCTTTTGTCCCAAACACACTGGTAGTAGCCAGGCCTGGCTCCTTTGCTGCCTTCTGAGAAAATTCCCAGGAAAATGATGTCTCCTGTAGAGAAGCGGGCAGGGTTAAGGCATTTTCTAGGGGTGGAGGGGGGAGGGAAGACACACGGGGCAGTACGAAGTGGGGTAATCTTACAGCCCGGAGAAGCTTCCATCTCAGCAGTTCCTTCTCTTTCTGAACCTCAGCCAGTTTGGCCAGGGTCAGCTGCAGCTGGCAGGCTGCCTCCTTGCGCTCCATCTCGTGCTGCTCGGTGAGTTCCTTCATATTGGAGGCCAAGGCCTGGGAGGCCGACTTGTGCAGTTTGGTGAAGTCTTGCAGCCACTGCACCCTGCAAGCGTGTAACTGGCCCTGCCTGTGGGCAGAGCGAATGCCCAGGGCCAGGCTACCCCAGGCGCAGGCCTCTTTGGCCTCGCTGGTCATTGCGCTGTTCTCCAGGATGGCCCCGAGCTTGTCTTCTACCTCCACCCAGGAACGGGACATATTCTCCACGTAGAACTCAGGGCCTTTTGTGTCTCCGGCCATTTTCTCGTTGATGAAGGCCACCACATTGCTATGCCGGAACCCACCAGAGGGGTCGTCGGGTCTCAAGGCCATGATGGCGGAGGGCCTTGGGGGCAGGGTGGCTCTGCAGGGATCAATCAACTAGTCCTCACCTCAGTCCCTTAGGGACCGTGAGGGCCTCCGCTTTCCTTCAGCCCCTCCCCCCAGCCTCCTCCCATCCGCTTGCCCTCCTCACCCTCCTCAGACCTTCTCCCCGCCCCACAGGATACCTCCCACCAGGCTTCGCCTCTCCGGGTGGGCTCCGGAGGACGTGTGTGCTGACCATGCCCGCTGGACACGCCCGCTGACCATGCCCCGCACCACTGCCGCCTACCACCCCGAAACCCAAAGACAAAGGGTACCTCTCTTTTCAATGGCGCCGGGGGGAAAGAAAGCCTGAGCGCCACCCCGAGGTCTTATACCCCAGGACTGTTCCAACTTCCAGAGACAGCAAGGGTGGGAGCGAATGCACCAGGAAGGTCCTTCCCACTCACCCCCGGGACATCGGGGGACCCGCTACAGTGTTGAGAGCTCCTGAAGGTGGAAGAAACAGGAGTGGTCAGAAAGGACTTAGATCCAAGGATGCACAGCGCTTGTAATCAAGTATAAAAAAATCTCACCCCCTCTCACCACCACAATGGTTTGTCCCATGGCGGGTGAGGAAGTGTGAGGG